ACGCATCATAGTCTAAACAACCATTCTTTTTTCAAGGAATATATATCATCAGTACACCAAAAATATAATAGATGTTATTTCCTTCAATAATCATAACTCTAATACATTTATAAACTTATATATACAAACCTCCATAATTACAAATCTACATACATGCAAAAGATCACCATTTACAAATTATCCTACCCAAAAAATGTGATCTCTACTCTGATGCTCTGTTCTCTGGCTTAAGAAAAAAAACCCCCCCCCCCCCCCCCCCCCCCAAACCCCCACCCCTTCCCCGGGCTTTTCCTTTTTAAAACCCCCCTGTTACGCGTGATAAAATCAACGCGCTGAGTGGAAGACTCAGTGGTGCTAAAATTAACCAACAATTTAAATTAACAATAAAGCCCAAGGCAAAACTTAATTACTCAACTATATAAATTTACCGAAATTGCATTCATTTAATTCAAATACTTTGAAAGAAATGAGAAGATTATAAAATACAAAATATGTCTTCAATCTTTTTATAGCAACAAAAAATTTCATTTTTCGTTGAAGGCTTCCATACTCATCGCAGAATGACATCAAGCAGATTCTGCATCGTGGCCTAATTAGCGCCACCCCCATTACATACATGGCCTATGAAAGCACCCCGTGCCCTATGGAAAGCACCACCCCCATCAACACAGTCCGTCGCCTATGAAAGCACCACCGTGGCCTAGGGGAAAGCACCACCCCATCACCACAATGAACGCGCGTCCGCCTATTTATAAGGCTGATAACCCTAGCATATTGCACATATGATCATAGCTTCACAATAAGAAAATCCATATCATCATACCACGTTTCAATCATGCATAGTAGAGCCCAAATCAAAATCATTCTTTCACAAAAGCAATAAGTCTAAATCAAAACCTCTTCATTTCTTAATACTCATCAGTTCAGAATTTTACTCAAAACACTAGAGATATATATATACGTAATATAGTATAAAGTACATAAATCAAGAACTTTTCAGCATGTTCATAAACTTGACCTCTGCTGGGTTTTTAACACATAATTTGAGTTATGGGTCTCCAAATTGAATGAAATCAGATTCATTAGAAAGTTAACCCAAAATGCTACAAATGTTCAGAAGGGACCGGACCACAGCCCAGATCACAGAGTAAGATAACAAACAAAAGCTCAGAACACAGACCAACAGATCAGACCTGATTCAGCCAGAACCTGAATTCAAGGCAGAACCAAAGTCCAATGTTTCTTGAAATTCCTACTTCACCGAAAAACACTCAAATTGGAAACCAATCCAAGAAACGAGAGAATTTCTCAAGACACAGGCGCAAACAACTTTTATGAAGAACTTCAGAAAACCTAATCTTATCATTATAGTGGTCAAAATGGGCACTCAATTTAGTATGCATGGGCTCGACACAACAGAGTCAGTTTGGGTGTTTGAGCCATAAATGCGAGCTATCGTTCTCAATTTGGACACAAAGAGGATGGCTTGGAAAGCATAAGGAAGTTAAATCTATAACTTTTATGAAGAACATAAAACGCTTATTTTGCCATTTGAAGTTGGTCAAAAATGCGGACCCATCTTTCGGATATACAGGGAAAGACACCATCAACAAGACCAGTTTTGGTATTTTCACGTTTTGGTATTTCAATCATAAGTTGAGCTACAAGTATTGGAATTAGACATAAGAATATGTTTTGGAAATCTGAGAAATAGAGCTAAAACTTTCATGAAAAAGTAAAAAACAAATGGGAAGTATAAAGGGGTCAAAAATGAGCTCCAATCCCACGGCAGAACACATCTCACATTAAAATTCAGCAATTTCAACAAAACATACAAAGTTCCCAAAATATATTCAAAACCCTAACCATTTAAAACAACTTAAACAAGTGAAATTATGATTGCACTAACCTTATTAACAAGCTTGATTAAGCTTGGAAAGCCTTACTCCTTGGCTTTCTCTTTCCCCTCCTTTGAGGATGGTCTCCAACCTCTTTCAAAGATGAAAAATCAAACATTTACAAGCAAAACTTAACAAAAGAAATATGTTGGAGCATGCATTTAATTCAATCAATTAACATGTCTAAACCATGAATTCTAACTTAACAATTCACAAAACTTCAAAAAAAAAACCACAACTTACTTGCTTCAATGGTAACTTCACTTCTCTTTGCTTTTAATCACCAAACTCAACTTCTACTTCTTAATTCTTAAGAATTAAATACAAATCTATGGTTTAATTAGGTAGTTTGGTGGTAAATTTGGAGGTAAGAAAATGAAAGAAGAAGGAAGAAGATGGAAATGGCGTAGAGAAGAGAAGAGAAGAAAGACAAAAATGTTGTGGTGTTTACTTTAATTGCCAAAGTCAAATTTGACTTCCTAAAATCATGCAAAATGTGTGGCTAAGATCAAGTCCTAAGTAATCTCATCCAATGGCTCTAAATACCAACTGGCCTCTAAAATATTCCTCAAATAATTCCTTCTACTTTCTTATTTAAACTCCACCAACTTAATTAAATTTAACTCCAGCTAAAGATAATCCTCATTTTATTTCTTATATATACCACACTAGACAATATATGCCATTTCAATACAATAAGACTCTCCAAAAATATTCATTAAATATTCTACCCACCTAAATCATGCAAACATGGCTCCAAATAATAGTGAAAAAAAAATATTTAAATATGTATAGTAATTTTTCGGACATTTTTCCGGACTAAAATAATACCAAGTTCCGGACCGATGGTACTATTCACAGACCGGTAAATCACTATTACCGACACAAAAAAAAATCAGTCTGTTACAAGCATGATATTATCAAAATTTATAATTTTAAAGGCATAATAGGTAGTCTACTAATGTCAAAAAAAAAAAAAAAAAAGGTTGTCTACTAAATTTAAAGTATCAAAATATAAAGTTTAAATTACCATAATATTTTTTACAGGAAGTGCTGAGGGTGAATTTACGCATTTGGTCGAATGTGTGTGTGTGTATATATATATATATATTATAATATAATATTATATAGTATATAATATATATATATATATATATATAAAATATATGACTATATAAAACTAAGGAATGATCGTAATCCAGCCATTTTATGTTTATATTTTTTAATGGATATTATTTATTTTATTATTTAGCACCACCCTGCCTCGATATTTACTAAACTCAGATTTGAATCAGGAAGTGTCCTCAAGCCTTCCTTTCTCTACTCTATCTTCTCTATTATATTTGTGGCCAAACTAGTCACCATATATACTATATTAATAACAAGAATACAATTTGCAGCCATTTTATGTTTATATAAATGGATATTATTTTATTTTATTTATTTAGCACCACCCTGCCTCGATATACTAAACTCCAGATTTGAATCAGGAAGTGTCCTCAAGCCTTCCTTTCTCTCTCTATCTTTCTCTATTATATTTGTGGCCAACTAGTTCACCTTCAACCTTCTCTTTTGCATTTCATTTTCAGTTCGAAAGTTGAAACCTCTTCAACTCTTTCATCGTGCTGAAATTCATACCCACCTGAAAGAAAAAAGAAAAGGAAAGACTCTTTCTTTGTTTTTTATATAATATAAAAAATCACCTGAGAGTTGAATACATAGACGTACTGTAATGATGCCTCAAAAGCCTCTTCTTCAGGAGCTCCTTCAAGAAGATCAAGAACCTTTTTTGCTCAAAAACTACATTGCTGATAGACGTTGTCAAATCAAGAAACCCATTTCCTCAAGAACCCATTTACAACTCAAGAAAAGAAAACCCATTTCTCAAAATTTTTGCAAGAATGCTTGTTTTTTCTCTGTTAATAACTCTCCAAATCTTACAAAATCCCCTCTCTTTGATTTCCAATCTCCTACTAAAAGCCCTTGCAAAACGTCAAACGCAATTTTCCTTCATATCCCAGCTAAAACTGCTTCTCTTCTTCTTGAAGCCGCTCTTAGGATTCAAAAACAATCAGCAACTCCAAAATCCAAAAACGTTAATAATGGGTTTTCTTTATTTGGGTCTTTAATAAAAAAACTAACCCATCGTAGTAAAACTAGAAAGCGCGAGATCAAAGAAAATATCGTCAATGCTACTCTAGGCTATAGGAAAGTACCAGAAAGCATTAGCGAGCAAGAGAAAAGCTTTTCTTGTTCTTGCAATGGTAGGCCAAGTAGTACTGTTTGGTCAGAGAGTAATGAAGAGAAGTCTTGGGATTTAGATTTAGAGACTTCAAGTAGTAGCCAATCTGAAGAAGTGGAAAATTTTAAGTATCTTAATGTTGATGGCATTTGTGATTTTGCTTCTTTTGATAATCACTTTTGTGAAAGCCCTTTCCATTTTGTTCTTCGACGAAGTCCTTCTTCCGGTCACCGGACTCCGGTCTTCTCTTCTCCGGTCATCTCACCTAGTCGCCATAAATCAGAGGTTTGCTATCATCTCCTTCTCTGTTTGTTTTTTTTTTTTTTAATTAATCATTGTTTGTTAATAGATTATGTATAAGAGTGTACAAGCAAAGCTGCTGTGACTCAGTTAGTGAACTCGTGACTCAGATTACTGAGTTTGACTTGTTTGAACTGTCGGCAATCTGGTCAATTTGTGCAATTTTGGCCTGAATGTTAATTTAAAGGACAAAAATAGCCTTTCAACTTATGTGAATTTAATTAAAGATCAGTTTATTTTTAGGGTCATAAAAGTCATTCCAAACAATTATTATCTTCACTATTTGTATGTTTTATTATGTTATTATCAGTCTGCCATGCAAATCTTTTATTTTTAAAATAAAAATAAATTTCCAAGAAAAGGACAAATTCCTTTTCCTGTTTTTTTCTGTTAAATCCCATCACCAAAATCCGACATCCCTTTTAGTAAAATTGCTATATTCAGTTTTATTTCCTTGCAAATTTTGGAGAAAAGTCAACAAATTAATCCTGCACAACGAACCAATTATGTACGTATACTTTTCTATATTAGAAAAAAAGGTTAATTATATGGGCAGTATTGGAAGTTTTTATTATTATTTTTTTAATTTTAGCATATGAAAATAATTTTAATTGACCCACCCAGTTACTTTAATCAAATGTTTAAGAGAATGATTTGAAAAGTTCTATTTTGATCTCTGAATCAAAAAAAATATTTATAATTCAATATTTATAATTTGATATTTTTCATATTTTTTAAACGGAAAAAAAAATTTACATTTGAGTGTCTGAATTATTTAAAATATTGTGATCTAAGCTTTTAATAAATGTTTGTATAATTATTTGTAATTCCGTTTTTAACAGGGGAAAGAAAATAACAATGAAGTAATGGAAATCTTAAAGAAATTCGAAGACAAAGAAGAAGAGGAAGAAGATAAAGAACAGAGTAGTCCTGTTTCTGTTTTAGACCCTCCATTTCAAGACGATGACGATGGACATGACGATCACAGCGAGGACGACCGTTTTGATCTTGAATGCAGCTATGCAATTGTACAAAGTAAGTAATTAACAATTAGTTTACTAAATTCTGAATTAAATAGATGGATTCGATTTTAACCAGATCGAATTAATAATAATATTAGATAACGTAAAAAATAATAATAAAAAAATATATAGCCTTTGTTTTTTTTTTTTTTTTGAAAATTTGTACCGTTTCTGATGTCGGTTGTGTAGTCATTGTCACTGTAGTACGAGTCACACTGTTAAAATGATACACTCTGATGGATCAATTAATTGACGATCATGATCATATGAGATCTTAAGTGGGTTCCATTTTGGAAGGGTCTTGATCAAAGATTTCCCCTTCTACTGAAAGTCTCTCTAATAATTTTGAGTCATTATTATTAGAATACTGTTCCAAGTTCTGATATTGAAATCAAATTTGTCTTCAGAATTATGCATACAAATTTTCGTTTAGTAAACCCTAATAGAACACTTGCCAATATCTGGTGTATGAACATTTGATACAACCTCGAACAACAATGTTTTCACTCTGGGGAAAAAAGAATAAAGTAGTAAAAAATTACGACAGTTTTTCTTTTTATAGGCAAGTTTCATCCTATTTACCTGATGTTTTGTAATAACTTGTTGTATGGCCCACTTAATTTAATGTTTGACAAGTATGGTAGACCCTAACAAGGATATTGGTTGGGGAATGATAAACATAATTTACCGAAAAATTTGCTAGATGTATAATTTGATGATCTCAAGGCATTGATGTCTCTAGTCCTTGAGACTTTAACTTGAACTGGTGGAACCCATTTCAGTTATGGGTTCACTTGATACTGTCAATCTGTTGCTTGTTTTTGAAATGCATAAAAAAGCTGCTTCACAATCATATTTGCATATTTAAGTTTCTTCTAGTACTTCTTACAGGAACCTTAATAATTAAATTTCTCTGGAAAATATAACTTGATCTACATCTGGCCATATCTTGTCTGAAACTTTACCTCCCCTGAATGATTACTTCCTGATGAAATTATGTTAAGCTTGGAGATATGGGTTTGCACCAATCTGCTTGTAGCCTGTGATTTAATACAAAATTTACACAGGGTAATAATAATATGCTCTATCACAATTAATAATCTCTTCTATTACATTTTGCAGGAGCAAAGCAGCAGCTACTACAGAAGCTACGCAGATTTGAAAAACTAGCAGAGTTGGATCCAATTGAACTTGAGAAAAGAATGCTTGAGCAAGAACAAGAATCAGATGATGATGACAATAAAACAGAAGAAAAAGAAGAAGAATTTCTTGAATGCGAAGAGAATGAGTTACAGCAAAGCATTGATAGGTTCGTCATCCAAGAACTTAGTAAATCAAGAAAAATACCAAGAGAGATGAAAACATTGGTTTCTGATCTGATTAAAGAAGAAGAAAAAGAAGGAAACTGTTTTATTGACAGAGAAACAATGGTGAAAAGGGTATGCAAGAAATTTGAGTTATGGAAAGAAGTGGAATCTAATACCATTGATATGATGGTGGAGGAAGATTTTAAGAAAGAATTTAATGGATGGAAAATGCATCAAGAACAAGTGAAAGAAACTGCATTAGAGATTGAGTTTGGAATCTTTGGATTATTGGTGGAAGAGTTGTTTGAGGAATTAGTTGCTGCTGCTTAAAAAATTTTGAACCTCTCTCTTCTTCTCTCATGATGTTATTTGAAATGAATTTTGGTTTTTAACTTTCTTTTATATTTTTTTTCTTTTTGAATTAATATAATTAATTAATTAGAGTATAGTCTAACAAATCCACTATGAAGGGATAGGCTAATTAGATTGTAGTATGATCTTATGTATATTTATGATTATGTAAGAAATGTGGGAAGTTGTATTATTATGTACAATTCCTAGTCTTTAATATATATGCATATGTATATTAATTATTTATAATTTTACCCATATTTTTTATGCGTTTCACAGTTGCTAATATGTAGTATTTAATATGAACCGGAGACTGAATGTTAATATACCTCATAACATATATTTTTGTTACCACGAGATATATTGGCGGCTATGGATCATTTGAACAAAATGAAATTTGGAATGGGTACACTTAACCATATGAACTATTTAAAAAAGACAAATCTTAGTATCCTATTTTAGAGGAGGTGTCCTGGGAAAATTTTATCTAGATCGAACTTATGGTCTTACTCACGGATTAAACTAATGAGAATAAATTTTTTTATTAAAACGATGATATTTCTGTATATTGGGAAAAAAAATAAAATCGAAAAACTTTTTAAAAAATTCTTATTGTTATTGGTTTTGTCTATAAATGTGACTATGGATCCGGTTTAGACATAGTAGCCGAGCCAGAAATCGAACTCAAAGAGATTTAAAAAAAATTTTAAAAATTTAGCGGAATCGAATAAAAATAATTTTTTTAGGGCGAAAATAAAAATGTTTGGAGTTAGGGGGCGGTGGTGGCCCGAATCGTGTTATTGTTACTGTTGTACGGTAGACTGAAGAGGTTATAATCCATTAAGAGAGACGCAGACTTAGCAACACTTTAACTAATTATAGTTACAAAGTTAGAATTAACATTAGCTTACTTTACTAATATACCCTTCGCTAAGGTGAGCATTCGACCAGTTCAGTTGAGTAAAACTTTTAATCAAAATAAATTAACCAAAATTTTTTTAACTTAAGCAAATTTAATCGAATTAATTTTTTAATCAAACTTAACTAAACTGAAATTAAAAAAAATAAAAATTTAATTAACCGACTAAATTTAACTGAAATTTTTTATTAACCGATTTTAACAGAAATAAAAATTAACCAAAATTATTAATCACTACTTAATCAAAATAAAAACAGAAATATTTTTAATTTTTAATTTCATTATATACTTAATCAAAATGATGTAGTTTTGAGAATCTGTTAATTTGATTAATTCGGTTAAATTAATTTTTAATCAAACTTTTAATCGATCATCGAAATTTTAATTTTTTAACCTAACTTTTAATCGAATATTTTATTCACCAAAATAAATTAGCCGAATTAACCGAATTAACTGAATTGGTCGAACCAAATACTCACTCTACCCTTCGTTGTCAAAAAGTGATAATCAGGAGGGCTACTTTGGTAAAGATATATTATCAATTGGTAGTTGGAGCCCAGAGGTAGGGGTGAGCATCCTGTTTGAACCAAATTGCTCAATATGACCGGATGCATCTAACTCAAACCAGACCAAATATAATAGAAACTGATTTGATACTGAACAAACCAAATCAGATTGAGTTTGATTGATTGTTTTGAATTGAATCACCTATTTTAGGTGTAAAAAAATTAATTTGGTTAGCTATATATAAGGCTGAATCGAGCCATTATCATTGTTCAAACTAAATAGAGACAGGTTTTTAAAAGGCTAACCGAATTAAATAAGATGAGTCGGTTTGATTTTTGGGACAGACCCCAATATTGATCCTCGCCTCTACTTGGAGGGAGTATTTTGGAAAAAATAAAAATTGTTATATTATTGAGTTATGCGAGCCGGCCCACTGTGCTTGGGCATGCTATCTACGGGCCACATATCATGTTGGGCCAAGTTAGCACTCGTGCTGGTCCCCAGTTGCTGCCTCTACTGCCAATCCTTATTTATTTATTTTTTCATTCTTGTAGCAAGTATCCAAGCTTGTATCTGTATAAGAGTCCACAAGCTTAGCTAATCCCCATCTCCGCTTGTTCTCGGAGGTAAAGAGGCTGATCCAGAGAAAGTTTGCATTGCGGAGGATCAAACCTATGACCTAAGCCATGGTGATCAACCTCGCAAGTGATCTTTGTCATTAAGTTACCCCATTCGGGTTTAATGTCAATCTATTTAATCATCGGATTGAAGCTTTTTTAAATCCACGGATTTGTAATTTTTACAAAATTATAGAACTTTTTTTGTTTGTGACAGACTTTTTGGCAAGTGTACGAAATCGCGACAAGTAATAAAGAATGAGTAAAGTGTCATCCTATAAGGATTGTATACCGAGCATCAAAATTGTGTTAACTTATTATTATTTAGACGACAATAAGAAGAATTATTTTAACGAAAATTTAAATAAAAAAAAGAAAAATAAAAGAAATCAAGCAAGACAATTCGATGAAAAGATACCAAAGATTAAAATTTATTAGGGATTTTGATTTCACTTAATTCTATCCAATTTATTTTATTAGTTTGATAATTAGTTTTAATTGTTCAAGTAGGGGAAACAATTCTAAAATCACTAATAAGAAGAAATATTTAACGAAAATCTTAAATAAAAAAAAGAAAAATAAGAAGAAATAAGCAAGACCAATCGATGAAAAGATACCCAGATAAAATTTATTATGGGCTATTTTGATTTCACTTAATTTCTATCCAATTTATTTTATTAGTTTTGATAATTAGTTTTAATTGTTCCACAGTAGGGGAACAATTTCTAAAATCACTAATAAGCTCTCCCGAGTGTATTGCTTAGCTATTGTTTTTTTAAGCCCCGGCTCTAATTACCTTATCTTCCCCAAAAATATCCAATAGTGCAATCAAACATGAATTAAATAATTAAGTTTTATGGTTTGTTTATGAATTCATAACCTAAGGTCATTAACTTATGAAAACCCCATGAGTTAAACCCTATAGCTTTTGCATCAAGTTTTTATTCCCATGTAATTTATTACTTTTTTCATATCAAAAATCCTTCTCTCGATAGTAATTAATGAAATAAATTAATCCAGGGGAAAACTTTATCTGGAAGCATTAAGTTCAATAATAAATTATACTTTGAACAAAGAAAAGCAAATATAATATTTTAAATTGGAATCGAAATTAAGTTACATCAAATCTCTAGTATGAAGGTTTAGTTCGACATAGTAATTAAATAAAACTCAATTAAATTTGTAAATAATCCCATAAAGAATAATAAACAAAAAGAGAGTTTAGAATAAAAATTAGTCGAGAATAAAAATTAGTCGATGGTAAGCTTGAAGCGGTCAGATTTTGCTTCCTTGAATCTTTAGTTCGACATAGTAATTAAATAAAACTCAATTAAATTTGTAAATAATCCCATAAAGAATAATAAACAAAAAGAGAGTTTAGAATAAAAATTAGTCGATGGTAAGCTTGAACGGCTTCCTTGAATCTTAACACAAATCTTCAGCACTTGAATTCTTGAGGGAGAAACTATGAAGGAATTCATAGAACAAAAGATGGTATATGGAAAAGTCCCCCTAATCATAGCTACTCTCTCTTTGTATAGACTTTCTGAAAGTATCTTCCTGATCCTTTTAGGAAAGTAGATCTCCTATTGAGTAAGAAATCTTCTTGAGGTAGAAAACTATTTAGGCTTTGTATTTTTCCCCAATTAGGACTCTTTCAACATCTAAATAGGATTTCCTTGAATGGCACGTCATAAAAACATCTCATGTGGGTCCATGTAAGCGGCATGGGCTAGAACTGACATTTTTGGCCCAAGGTAAATTCTGGTCTTTAGCACGGGCGTGCTGTCTGGCACGGTCTGGGTGTGCTAGGCTCTGAGTCCCTGAGGTGGATGCAGCACGAGCCTTTCTTGGTTGAGCACACTCAAGGATCGACATTTACTTGCGGCACGGGCATGCTCTCTGGCACGGCTTGGGCATGCCAGGGTCTGGGGACTTCAAGATAGTTGCAGCACGGGCCGTGCTAGAGTGAGCACGCTCAAGTATCGACAACCTTTTGTAGCACGGGCGTGCTGTCTGGCACGGTTTTGGCGTGCTAGCTTTTGAAGTCTCTGTTCAATTCAACACAGCACATGGGTGCTAGATGACACGCCCAGGGTGTGCTACCTTTTGAACCTAAGAACACTCTTTTCTGTATTTTTAGTTGGTTTCCTAAAGAAATGCTGCAAAATTCCCCAAGACCAAGTGAAATGTGATTCAAAGAAGCTTTAAACAAAAATATAAATAAAACTAATTAAAGTAATAAAAATATTAAAAAATCATAATAAAACTATATTAAAAATACTATTAAAAATAACACCTATCAGTTTGATATGAAAATTAGATTTTTTGATTTGAGGAGTATTATTAATATTATGAACATCTAATTTATTTCTACTTTATTAAAATGAGAGATTTAATAAAATCTCATTTCTTATGAGATTTTATGTGAGGCAGTAAGTGATTTTAAATGATGAACAATTTTTTTAAAATTGATGAATTTTATATTTTACTTATTAATCAAATGATGAAATTTGCATACTAAAACATAACTTAGTGGTAAGTGCATATATGACCTAACAATAAATCCAGGTTCAATTTTTTAACTCTATATTTTGATCTCTTCTATTGAACCACTTCACCAAAATCCTTTCTTTTCCAAAACCTGGTGATCCAAAGTCAAAATCCATTTTTGAAGATCCAAAGTCAAAAAATCAGTCTTTTTTTTAAGGAAAACGACAATCCAAACACTAAAATATGATAGCTTAAGGTCTTCAACGAACCTTTCAAAATTAAAATCAACCAACCCCCATTTCATAATGGGAAAGAGCTACTTGATATTTATTTCATTCTAGGAATAAACAGACAGACATGATTCTCTAAGATCCAGTTGTTGATCAAATCCATTAAAAACTATGTTTCCCCCTTTTCTTTCCCTTTATTTTTTGGAACAGAAGATGTGTGATTGCCCTAGAATCCCTATCAAGGGGATAAAGGTAACACTCCCTTATTTTGTAACTTATTTTATTTCTTGCATTATTTTATGTTTATTTATTGCTTTATTTCTTTGTATAAATGTCATTCTCTTCATCCTAAATCTGTTTTTATTTGGATTACACATTAAACTTTGGCCAATTAACTGAACATTTAAATAAAAAATCTAGTCCCTAAATCCTGCTTGATTTTGTTGATTACAGCAGTTTTCTAAATTGGAGTCAGATAAA